CAGTTGACTCTAAGTGAGGGGTATCAACGTAGCATAATTTGCAGGGGAGGGGTGGACTTGACTGGTGTGGCTATATGAAGAACCAATTGGGACTTGGGAACAGCTCTGCAAGTGTGTACATGCACTTTGTTAGCACCACTGTCCACCAAATAGTGCTTAGGGATTGTTAAAGCACAGTTAACCCTTAAATGGAATGTGAAATAAATGTAGACAACTCAGTGTCTTAAAATCAAAGTCTAACTTTATTAGTACAACAAGTATTATCTTAGCAGTTTCTGTATTTGGAGAGAGAAAAAAATTCAGTATAATAATCTTGCTCAATCCCAGATGTTACTTTGCTCAACAGAAAAGATGGCCACTCAGTTCCTGGAAGCAAAGGGTACATCATGGGTTGGGACAGTTCAGACAGGTGTTGAAGGCTGGATTTATGACAACAATGATGAACTTTCTTGCTCCCCCCTTATATGCTTTTCTTCAACTTCACTTCTTTGACTCTTCACTTTTGGATTGGGGTCTCTGCGGTCAGCACGCTGTCCGTCTTTTATCCTGTCAGCATGTTCTGTTGTCTAACAGACCCGTTACACGCACACCTCTTAATTTGGCCTTTTTCCTGTCTTTCTTTGAGCACTGTCCATTAGGTCTCCCTTATCACTTTCATTAGCATGTATCCAATCCTTTTATCCTCCTGATTCAACTGGTTAGTGCCAAGTTCAGTTAACTGGAGCTGGTAACAAGACCATTGCTATGTTATGTTAAAAGAACTTCTCTCAGTGATTTAAAAAATATATATAATGAGCACCTATGAGCTCTACAAAAACAACTCAAAGCTAGCTAGTAAAAAAACCAAAAAGTAAATAAGGACAAAACTTAAGCAATGATTAAATAAGGCTAAATATAAACACTATTTAGGTACAGATACAACTCCAAAGCATTAAACATAACAAGCTACCCTAACAAGTTATCCATCCTCATTCTTTTCCAGGCAGAGGTTTGGGATCTGGACATAATCCGAGCCAATGATAGCTCTTGGCCAGTGGAGGTCACCAACATCAAAGAGGGCTTCATTGTGGTGAAAGGCCACAGCACGGTAAGAGCTCTTCTGCCTTCTGTTCAGATCCTTTTATTCTCTCTCAGAATTGGGTTTCCTTTGGGGAATCACATTTTTCAGAACAGTACTATAGGGCCAGGATCATTATTGCTACACTAGAGTCTCTTGCTAGTCAGTGGGTGCTTGCCAAAGTGCAGTTTCATTCTGTGGTACATTATGACTCCTTAGCATCTTTGACTGAAAGCTAAGCTGCTGCCACACTTTGAGTAATGGTGTTACAGGGTGGCCTGCCACCCAGAGTGATTTAATAATGAATGATTCTGGCATTGCCAAGCTGATGAATCATCTGTCTGGAATTATTAAACACTTAAGTATAAATAACATTCAGATCACTTGATGAAATAAAGGCAAGCCAGCTAGAGTTGGGCTGTAATCCTTCACTCTGTATCCCTTTCATGTCCAGCGACTGTGAGGTTGGTGAGAGCAAATAGTGTCAGAAGGCCAGACCCCTGAAATGCCCTTTCTTAATTGAGTAGGGCGAGCTTGCTTGTATCTTGGGACTATGAGTCATGAAACAAATTGGTGACTTCTTAAACCAGTGGTGCTCACTGTTTTGGCCCTGCAGATTAGGTGGATAGCACAGGACTGATCCACAGTCTGAATTAGGCCCGACATCCCCCCTGAACACTGGGATTGGGCTCTGGATTGGGCCCTGGCCAGCCAGGATCAGGCTCCATCTAGCTGGGATTTGGTCCTGCACCACCACATGTGTCCAATCTAGTGCACAGGGCCATGTCCCACAGGGCTTGCTGCAGGCCAGATGACACCGTACCAAGGACTGGATCTGGCCTCTGGGCTGGAGGTTGAACATCTCTTCTTTAAACTATTCCAGTGTATTGGGGCCAAGCCATTTGTAAATACTCAGATTTGTCCTGTAGTTTCTTTTTTGCAGGGCTTGGTGGACAATTCTTGTGTGAACCTTCTCATGTTTTGTTAGTCAAGTCCTGATTTCGGAATGCTCTGCAAATTGACTAGCCAAAGATAATCCTTGGGAATTATTGTATTGGCCCATTTTGCTTACTATAGCTAATTGAAGGCATATTGCTTGCCAGGCCAAATAGCCCTGTGAAGCCTGATGCTCTGTTTTTGTCTGGATGTCTATGACTACTCCTAGAAGCATATTACTTATAGGTTAGCCCTCAGAGCCTGTAGGCTGGTGTGTAAAAAGGCATTTGGGTTTTCTTGCTTTTCTTGTTTCAGCAGTAGCCATCCTCTTGATGCTCTTAAACCTACCTTCCACACTGATTGCTTCCTTACCACTGGTTAACTGTTATAATAGGAAGGTTACTGTACAGATGTGAAGGAGTCTGGTTGGGTTGAACATACTGTAGGTGGTATTAAGTGAAATTCTGTCCTCTGCAAAGAGTTGAACGTGATTTAATGGCACTTTCATTAAATTCTGCCCCAAAAGGCTCAGTTTCCATTGCAATGTATACAGGTAATCCCCGCTTAATGCTGTTTCGCTTAGTGCTATTTCGCTGTAACGCTCATTTTAAATTGATACCTGATTTCACTTAGTGCTCAGCGAGTTTCATTATAACACTTGTGGTTGCCATCTTGGATCATCAAAAACTTTCGGTTTTGTGTAATGCTTAGTTATTCAGGAACCACTTAAGAGCACTAAGTGGGGGGTTGCCTGTAGTTAAATTATTAATACAAACAACTAAGTGCATCTCCCTTGAAGGGGATGCTGTCAATTTCTGCAGGGTTCAGCCTTCAAAATTATGTGTCTGTAAAATATTTCGGAAGTGCGTGGATGCCTTAAGTGATTTAATTCACTTTGGGCAGCGGTGTCCTGCAGGGGTCAGTGCTTGGTCCAGTACATTTCAACATCTTTATTAACAGTTTGGATGTGGAGGTGAAGAGCTCACTGTCCAAGTTCGTGGATGATGCCAAGTTGTGGGGGAGCATGGTCATGCTTGAAGATAGGCTACTGATACAGGCGGACCTAGACAGGCTAGCAAGTTGGGTGGATTGGAACCTGATAAAATTCAGCGTTGAGAAATGTAAAGTGCTTCACCTCAGGATGAACAACCCCCAACGCACCTACAGGTTTTGTGGCACCAAACTGACTAGCACCACAAATGAAAGAGACCTGGGGGTAATAATAGACCACAGTATGAATATGAGCTCTCAGTGCGATGCTGTAGCCAGTAGGGCAAATAATACTCTGGGATGCATCAATCGATGCATCTCCAGCAAAACCAAGGAAGAGGCAATGCTTCTGCTCTACTCAGCAGCTGGAGTACTGCATCCAGTTCTGGGCACCACACTTCAACAAGGACATGGACAAGTTTGAGAGACTCCAGAGAAGAGCCACCTGTATGATCAGAGTCTTACACAGCAAGCCATACAAGGAAAGGCTAAGGGATCTAGGACTCTTCAGCCTGAAGAAAAGAAAGCTGAGAGGGTTCCTGGTAGCAGCTTACCACTACAGTAGGGGAGTACTTCAAAGGCTTGGTGAGCAGCTGTTCACCAGGGCACCCAAGGGGAAAACTAGGAATAATGACCACAAACTCCTGGAAGACCAATTTAGGCTCAACATTAGGAAAAACTTCTTCACAGTCAGGATGTCCAGTGGTGAAATAAGCTCCTTCCAGAGGTGGTGCAGTCACCTACCCTGGAAATCTTCAAGAGGAGACTAGACAGTCACCTTGCTGGGGTCACCTGACCCCCAGTTAGCTTTCCTGTTTGGTGCAGGGGGCTGGACCTGCTGGTCTTCCAAGGTCCCTTCTGGCCTTACAATTTATGAATCTGTGATTTTTAATGGGAATGGTTCCTAATTGCTTATGGAGCCTCCATTTGTTGTCAGCAACTGACATGTCAGGTTTTGGAAAATTAACAGTCCTAATATTCCTAAAGGTTTGTCTAGAGATTGTACAACTTCCATTATCCTAAAATATTTATCCTGATACAACTACCAGGCATGGATGCAGGAAAGCTGGATTCTAGCCTTTTAGCCTATTACTATATTGAGAGCAGGAATAAGCTATAAGGCACCGTTACACTGGTATGACTATGCCCATGCTAAAGGTTATATCTGTATAATTATATTGGTTAAAAAAAACAAAAAAACTTTCCTTTAACTGAGATGGCTAGACTGATATATAAGAACAGTGTATGGACCCAGCCAATGGTTTGGGTATTCAGCAGGTAATGTTTTGAACATTAAGGACCTTAGAAGTAAGAAGTGAGTGAAAATAGATGAGTTTCCTCCTCCAAACTGCTTGAAAATAAGTAAATGCACATCACTGTTAAACTCTAGGATTCTCATTTACATTTTGTCAATACATTTTTGATGCTAGCAATACAAGAAAGGTTTTTGTTTTTTTTAAGTGAGCATGTGACCATTTCTCTTTGAACATGTTCAGTCTGAATTGTGAGGAGTTGACCTTTTTTTTTTGGTTAATTTTCACTGCGTATGCCATGGAACGTAGTGCTTTGGGCTGGGTCACAATTAGGCTTGGAAGGAGACAGTGTTATGTTTTACTTGCACAGCTCGTTTTTTTCCCTGCATGTATATTTTTGTTCACTTCAAATCTCAGCACAGAGATCCAGTACTGTTGTGAACGTCAGGGACTGCAGAAATTAAAACTGAGCAGGTTCAGAAATTAAATTAAATGTGCTCAGAAGAGAGTGGGGCCTCCCTCTGCTGTCAGCTCATTTACCAGCAACGCCCATTAGGTTTAACTTGCTCTCTCAAAGACATGATCATAATGCTATAGTGGAAATTTGCTTTGTAATTTCTTGGGTAAAGAAGTAAATTGGTGATTGCAGACACTGCTGAAACTGACAGGTTTTTTTTTCCCTTTTTTTTTAAGCTGCTACCCTACCATGCTTTTTGTGCAAGTCTGCTGCTCCTGAGCTGCAGCAGCACTTTGTTTTCCTGAGGAACTATGGAATGACTGGTTTTGATTTCCTGTTTCTTGTTTAGCGTCTAAGTGAGGGAGCGCTGTCTCCAGATGGAACCGTCTTGGCCACAGCAAGTCATGACGGCTATGTCAAATTCTGGCAGATCTACATTGAAGGACAGGATGAGCCAAGGTAACTTAAGAAGCCAGAAACAATGGTTCCCACTATAAAGAAAAAAAGTTTCCTTTCTATGAGAGGCAGCTCTTTAACACTGAACTTCTGATAGATTCTTTTTCAGAATGTAAGGGGCAGGAGATAGAAGGTTAATATTTGACATTGAAGAGCACTGTAAAATTGCTGAGTGTCATTTGTTGTGCCTAAGCTCTTCCAAATCATTTAAATTTATGTTTTTGGCGTCGAAAGTCCTGTCTGTAGAAGAGATACTGTACAGGCTGTAGTAAATCAAGCTTCCTTGTAGTGTCCTATAATGAGAGAAATCCATTAGCTCTTAGCTGCTCTGTGAAGAGTTAACAAATGGGCCAATCATGGTGATAGTTTTTATCAAACATTTATTTGCTCTTGTGTGCTCTAAAACACATCTAATTTAGAACCTTTTGTTTCTGCGAGCTTTTGTGTGCTTTTCACCTTTTCTCTGTTTTTCTCTTAGATGCCTTCATGAATGGAAGCCTCATGATGGGAAGCCTCTTTCCTGCCTGCTCTTCTGTGACAATCATAAAAAACAAGACCCAGAGTAAGTCTGAATCCTGAACTGCAGCATGTAGCCAAGTCTCTTAACTCTAGCTTTTAAGAAGAATCCTTATAACTGCATGTGTATGTTGTACTTAGTGATTGTGTCTTTACAGGTACTGTCTTGTTAGCAACAAAGTCTCCATTTCTAATGATGAGAGCATAATTGCAGCTCTGTGGGGCAGCCTGAAGTTGTCCTATTCCTATGTATACTTTGGTTAATCTATAAAATACAATTCTACCCCACCTTCTTTGTCTTTCTGTTCATGGATATGGAGAACTTGTCAGTGAAAATACTTCTGGATGGAATGGCATCCTTTAGGCTTCTGGTATTTGCCAGTCTATTCTGCCTCGTAGCATCTTAAGTTTCATTCCTAGTTCATAAGAGCAACTCACTTCTGCCACTTTTTTACTTCTCTAAAGAGAGGAGGCCCCAGAATGTGAGGGTCTAATCTGCTTATGAAGTAGAAACTTCCTTGGGAGTGTGGAACAAAATTGGCCAAGTACGTGAACTGTTTCCTTGCAAGGAAGACCTTACAGGAAGGACTAGACCTGCTTTTAAAGAGTAGCGCTCCAAATTTACCTGTCTTGTGCCTGCAGGGTTCCTTTCTGGAGATTTCTCATCACAGGTGCAGATCAGAATCGGGAACTGAAGATGTGGTGCACTGTGTCTTGGACCTGTCTGCAGACTGTCCGGTGAGTAATTATCTACGTGGCTCAGCAAGCAGGTCTCGGAGGCAGGGGTTGGTTTGAAACTGCTGCAGAGCAAATTAAAATTCAACTCTTTGAGGATCCTGAGAGTAATAACCATACATGAGAAGAGGTTGTCTGTGGTGTTTAATGCAGTACATATATATTGCTTTGTTGGGGTCCGACTAGTTTTACTTGCTTGTTATCTTTGCTCTGGTCTACCTGTACATCCTCGAGGATGGGGCAAGTTTTCTGGATCCTTCTGTGAGAAATACTTGCTGTTCACTTCACTAAGGGTGATGACAATTCCAGGATTTCTTTCCCTTATTTTGCTGCCTTAAAGTGCTGGTGTGTTACTAGGCTGGCAGGGATGTACACAGGCTGACCTGAAGAGCAATGCATCATTGAAGAGAAGTTGCTACCCAATCTAAAATCTGTCCTGCTTCATCCTCTCACATCCTCTTCCTTTCTGCTGAGGGATTACAGACTGTGAGACTAGCTCTTGTGGATGAATACATTTCACAAGAGCCATCTCTGCAGTTTCCCCTTCCATGACCCACAGTGAAGTGCATTCTGGGTTTGTGTTATATTGGTATATACCCACCCTTCTGTGAATGTGGCACATCTGTTAGGAAACTATAAGTCCGTGTATCAAAGGTTTAAATTCTCAGGGTTAACAAAATAGGTCAGGGGCAAGCAAAAAAAGCCCACAGGCCGCTCTCAGAGTGCCAGGAGCACCGTGTGGAGGCATGGAGCTGGTCCAGCCTGATGGCATGGGACTTCCCATGGCTCCTGGCATTCTAGTACACTGCTAGGCTGGGCTGGCTCCGTGCTGTGTTGATCCCAGCCTTGCAGAGGGGAACCGGATGGTGCCAGTACAGGCTGGGCGGTTTCTATGCCGTGCAGGTCCTGGCCTTACAGCCAGGAACCACACAGTGTGCTATGGAGCCAGCCCAGCCCGGCCAATCCCTTTGCAGCAGCACATGGTTCCTGGCTACAAGGCCAGGGCCAGCACGGGGCCGGCCCAGCCCAGCAATGTGCAGTTCCCTGCTGCTTGGTCAGGACCCATGTGGCATGGAGCCAGCCCGTCCCCTTCATGCTATGTCACATGGGTCCCAGCCATGCAGCAGGGAAGTGTGTGCTGCTGAGGGGATGGGCTGAGCCGGCTCTTATGCTGCACTGCATGGGTCCTGGCCTTGCAGCCAGGAACCACATGCTGCTGAGAGGGGATGGGACACATCCACACACATACCCACCCTTCCCCACACACCCCACCCAGCATACCCATACCTCTCCTCCCCCCCACCCCACACACACCCTAGTACAAACATCTACATACTCCCCAACCACACATCCCCCCCCACATATGTTCTCTTACCCTCCTATGCACAGTATACAAGTGTAAGACTGTATTTTTGACTATTATGCAATCACCTCTATATGCACTATGCAAACATGCCCAAATCAGGGCAAAAATCTTTTTTTAAAATAAAATTAAAATCTGTTATAGTAGATGTTTGATATATATTTTTTTAAGTATATGATTTGGGTTTTTTTCTTGTTCCAAGATGGCAGCCCCCCTCTCCTCCCAAAAGGAGTACTTCCAGGGCAAGGGGAGGGACATCTGTGGCAAAGGTTGGGGTGGGGGAGTTAGGGGTGGGACTTCTGGTCCCAAGATGGTGCTTAAGGGGCCCTCAACAGCTCGCCAAAACTTGTTAAGTGACCCTCCAGCCAAAATAGTTGCCTGCCCCTGGAGTAGGTCTTGTTCCTGCAAATTAACCTCTTGTCTGTAGCCTTTCTAAGTATTTTTGGGGGATTCATTGTTTTGGTGTCTGTACGGTATAATATCTGGCCAACTTGTTAAACCAGTACTTTGTTCAACTAATGTAGTTATAAGGTGTTGTCTTCCTGTTGTAATGATTGCTCTCACTTTGTGTATTCCCTCTTGTGCATTCAGGTTTTCCTCTGATATCTTCAGTTCCGTGAACATTCTTCCAAGTTTGAAGGTCTGCCTGGACCTCTCTGCTGAATACCTGATACTGAGTGATGTGCAGAGAAAAGTACGTGGTTCTTACTCTATTGGCTACTTCAGCTATAGTAGACAGGAAGAGGAGATTAAATCATGCACAGCTGCTGTGTCAGGGTTACCTGCACTCACTGCTGAAACGTATTCAAAGGCTGATGCAAACAGTTTCATTGCAAGGTAAAGAATAGTGACAGTTTTGCTGCTTGGCTCCTGAGGAGCCTTGTGCAAGGCATAGAATTCCTCCCAGAACGCCCAGCTGGTGACAGGGCTCTCAGAGATGAGATGGCTGATCTGGTACATTCTGTCACGTGCTGTGGTGGTGGGAAGCATCTTTTCAGATTTAACCACTTGTTTTCAGTGAAGCCACAGAGAGCAATACCAAGTGACCAGGCTCTTGGCAGCTTTACTGCTAATTAGGAACAAAAGCTCTGCTTCTGCTTTGAAGGTCCTGTTCTTGGTGTTGTACAGGTAATGGTGGCATATTTGATTTCCAGTGTATAAGTCATGCCCAGTCTTAATTTCATAGCAGGAGTAAAGGATCTCTGTGTCAAGATGTGCTGTATTTGGACAGAATCCTCAGATGCATGCCACCCATTTTATTGCAGGGGGCAGGTATGTCTCAGTTGAGGCTACATGGAGTTTTTAAAGCCAGTTAAAATTTATTGCTAAGTAATGTGAGGTAGGGGTTCTGCGCTGGCAGCTTAGTAGGAGCCTATGGACAATCAGCACAAACATGGCATGACACCATGCTGAGTGTCAAACACCTAGACTTGTAGATTAATACTGATGCTGATCATGTGAAAACTGCAGATCCCAGTTTGCGTTGCTCTTCTTGGATCTAAAGAACCTGTTTGTTTCAAGCAAGTTGAGCATGACATGCTAGAGTGCAGTGTCTGAGGCATATCTGTCTATTAAAGGTAAGGGTAACAGTGGCTTTTGAAGAACTCCTAAGGAGCTCTCTTGATTCTTTCTAGATTCAAATAGCCGAGGTAGACTTTGTTCCCTGTTACCTATCACTTAAAGTGCTTTTGGGGTTACTAGCAGGACAGACTTCTCATACTTGCCAGTTTGGTGTGCAAAGTCCCAGTGACTTAGACTGGCTCCTGATTTTCTGCTTTCACAGCAGAAGAGCCCATAATATAATCAGATTCAAAAGGGATTTGGACAAATTTGTGGAGGACTGGCCCACTGGTAAGTGCTGTATACAATAGCTAGGGCTCCAATCTTAGGATTAAGACTTTCTAGGCCTGTGAATGCTGGAAACCATAAGGGGAGAGGGGCAGGGGACAAATTAGTCTGGATAGGCCCTGCTTAAATACTTTTCCCCCTTAACATCTGCTCTATGCTACTGAAAGAGACAGGACACTCGGGTAGATGAACCTGCAATCACACCCCATATGGCTTTTTTTATATTCTTAGGTCTTGTATGTGATGGAGCTGATGCAGAACCAGGAAGAAGGTAAAGCCTACTTCAGCTCCATTTCAGAGTTCCTCCTCACCCACCCAGTCCTGAGCTTCGGCATCCAGGCAGTGAGTCGCTGCCGGCTAAGACACACTGAGGTCCTTCCAGCTGAAGAGGAAAATGACTCCCTTAGTGTAGGTGAGTAACAAGGCAGTCTGTTCCTTTTGAGACCGGTCGCTCTTTAGTGGCAGTGACTCTGCTATATTTTCTGTCTGGGGGTGGAGAGGGAGGAGAGCTTCCAAAACTCTTGCCACAGCTGAGACATTTGTGGGAACTGCACTGAGTAGGATTTTGGTGGTAAAGAACACTACAGACCTGCCAAAAAGTGCATGTATTGGAGACGAAGGGCTGGGCAAGTGGTTAGGCTGTGGATTCCTGAGTGGATTCCCTGGGTGCCCTTCTGGAATGTGCCCTATCTCATTAAAGTCTGAAGAAGGAGCTCCTGCCCAAGTAGTGTGGTGTGAAGTTGCACAAATCAGGGAGAGCATCTGGAGGTGGTATGAATGCGTCTTTAATGCGCACTTGCCTCGGTGAAGCATGTGTCACTAATATCAGGTCTGAAGAGGAACCCAAGGGAATGCCCAGTCTAAGAGCTGGTCTGCCCCTCCCTACCTGTGCTGCTTGGGGGTTGCAGAGGCATGAGGTGAGTATAAAACATGCCAGGATTACAGGTACTTATGCAACAGGGTGAGGTGCAGTGTCTTAGAGGAAGCTGTTGTCCCCTCCCTGTCTGAACTGTGAATGGAGAGAGACAGATTCCCCAAAGAGTGGGGCCCTGCAGCAATCAGGGAAGCAAGAAACTTGTCCTCTAGAGCAGGAAGGAAAATGCCATCTTTGGGGTTGTCATTCTGAGGGCTGTTTTCAAGGGGTTTTTTTGTTTTGTTTTGGGTTTTTTTTTTGTAGACACCCATGTTCATTTCAGATGTGCAGAGTCCTGTGAGGAACTAACCCCTGCTCTTTTTTTATCAATGCATGTGGCAGGTTTATTTTTCTTCTTACTGCTGCCTCTTACTTGTCAGAGCTAAAAAGATGGCTTTAATGATACTAACAGACTGCCTAAGAAAGCCACGGCAGTAGCAGACAGCCAGTGAATTTGTGTAGTAAATGGCTGATGAGTTTCCTTCCATTTATTCTAATAGCAAACTCAGTACCCTACATCAGCAGCAGCTTACATGCTTCCCAAATGAGGAGTGTATTGTTATCCCCTTGTACTGCTATAAACTGAGGCAGGGGTGAGGGGAATGACTTGCAGAGGCCAAAGAGCTGTTGAGGGCAGAGCTAAGAGCAGAAGCCTGGGTTTTCTGAATCCCTTTCTGGTGTCCAAATCGTAGGGCCTTGGTGTCAGCAGTCTGCCCCATCCCATCTTCCATGTGCTTAGTCACAGAAGGTCTTTCTGGCAGTGACAGCTGTAGGGATGTAAATGGTTAAACAACAATTATATTTATATTGTTTACTGCTTACTGTTTATTGTTTAGTGACCTCCAGCAGGAATGCCCTGGCCCCTTATGTCTTCACCGTGCAACTGGTGCTGCGTGGGTCCCAGGCTGCTGATGGGAAGCTGCAGGTTGGGGACAGCAGGCATGGCCAAGCTGTTTGGGGTGCTGTCCAGCTGTGGAGCCACAGCTTCCCCTCATCCCCATGCACAGGGGCTCAGGCTGGGGCTGCAGGTGGAGCCAGGCTTGAGGACCTCTTCTGTGCCCAGATCCCACTGCCATGGTGAGGGAGGGACAGAAGTGCCAGGCCTCCCCACAAGTGTTGGGTAAGGCCTTCCTGCCACAAGAGCAAAACTCCAAGGCTCTACAGTGAGTCTCCGTACCCTCCCACTGTGTTGGGGCCCTGGCAGGGCAGTGGGCTCCCTGCATTTCCTGCTGCAACCCAGATCTAGAAGGATCCTCCATGTTACCAAGCTGGGCCCTCCCCAGCTTGCCCGAGGGGAAGGGGGTCTAGTCTCAGTGAGGTGGACTTCCATGGGCGTGCTGCCTGTTTTCCCCTCCTTTCTGTGGTGCTGGGGGCATGCAGGGCTTGGCCCAGCCCTGAGGTGGGGCTGAGCATGCAGCTGGCTTGGCCTGAGGAGGCGCTGTGGCAGCTGGAGAAGGTAGCGCTGGTTGTAAGGGGTTGCTGCTGGCCTCTGCAGTGTGGCCCCAGGGTATTCGTGACCGGCTGTGGTGCAGCAGCTCCAGACTGGGAGGGTGCTGTTGCAGCCCTCGTGCTGCCCCCCACTGTATGTGCAATGGGTTAATCATTTAACCAATCTAATTAGAGAAGGTTAAACAGATACTCTTAAAAAATGATATTTATAGCCCCGGACTGGTGATTATCTTGAAAGTGCTTGGGCAGATCTTTTTTTTTTAAATGTCTTTGGCTTTCCTCAGAGCTAGACTGTATGAAGCCTTGGGTGGTTGTCAGCAGCAGTTACTGCTGGGAAGTTGTTGGCAAGACTCAAGAGTTGTCATTGACTTTTTAAGGCCTGCTGTCAAAGACAGCCTGAGCAGGGTGCGGGTCCTGGGGCAAATCAGCCTGTGCGTGGCCCCATCCCCAGATGCGAGGAAGCTGGCAGTGGATTTGATGGTGGGGTGGGAGGGGTGGCAGTGGCCCAATGTACCGGATTTGGCAGTAGATTTGGGGGAAAAGGGGGTGCCAAGTGGCTGGACGTGAAGCTGGTGGCCGCACAAAGTTGCCGCGCCACTCCGCCTGGCTCCACAGGGCTCCCCAAAGCACAGAGCCTGGGGCATCTCTGCCTGCTGTATTCAGGTCTGATCTCCTGCATAGGACAGGTTAGAGAGTGTTTCCCTATTTTTCCTGTCTCAGCGCCTCATTTCTCATTAAGTAAGCTGACCTCTTTGAACTGAGCTGGGTTGTTTTTCTAAGCCTGCTACTTGGAGCATGGGTCTGACTTTCAGTAGCTAAGCAAATATACTTACCGGTCTCTGTTCTTACCTCTCTCTACCCAGCAATGAGGTTAAGGTTTTTGGACCTGTTTAAATGGGTATAGAGTATTGGAGTGAAATGAGGAGAGGGTCAGAGAGACATCCAGCTCAGTGGGGTTGATATGCTCCAGTAGTGGGGCAGTGATTGGTCTGCACTTGTGTAGGTCTGTTGTTGTGCTAGTTGTGGCTGAGGAGATGAATTTCAGTTATTTTTTTTTCTTTTCTGTCCTTTTCCCAGAAGGGGCTCAGGGGGCTGGGGCTGTTGAATCTGCAGCAGGCGTGCTGATCAAGCTCTTCTGTGTCCACACCAAGTGAGTACCCCTAGGTATTACTATGGATAGCTGTCCTTGATCCCATTCTTGCATATATACACTTTCCTTCTTTCCTGCAATGACCTGGAAGAGTAACTTGAAAAATTTGAGTGTCACTTGTTGCTACTTAATTGCAGTTGGGGCATAATTAATGACTGTTAATGCATGTACTGCAAGCTCTGCTGCTTAATCTGAAACTTGCTTGGAAGAATAGAGGCTCCTAGTTTTTTGTGTGTGTGTGCTTAAGCACTCTGAGCACAGGAGGCTGTCTTGCTGGGCTGTGTGGGGAACTAGCAGTAGGTTTTTTTGTGCTTCTCTATGTGCCATCAAGAGCTGTGGAATTTTTCATAGGGTGTAAGTGTGAATACTTCTACATTTGACCACTTCTAATGGCTTGGGGGCCAGAACTTGCTGACCTAGTTTGCATCCAGACAGCTTGGCATTTTGGATATGGAGTACACAGGAAGGGGCCTTCAGCTCGATAAGGGGCAAAACTGACTGCAGAACTCCCGCTTGGCCCTTCATAGGCAGAAGATACTGAAGTATATTCCACTAAGCCCTCCAAGACCCTTACAGTTCTCTGGCAATAAATAAACTAAGGATGTCTGAATATTTCAGGGCCCTTCAGGATGTACAGATCCGATTCCAGCCTCTTCATAGCCCAGATATGGCTGCATCAATACCCTCCCATGGCTCCCATGAAGATTTTGGTGAGTGTTTGGGCAGGGGTTCTAGCCAGAGCTGCATTGTGCTTTGAATATTTTTTTGTCAGCATATGCTTGGCATTGCTGTGTGTAGCTCTGTGCGCTGCAGGATGATGTTGCAAAGGAAGCTTGCTGGGCTTCTGGAACCCTTTCTTCATAAATTCTGAACTTGGGTATAAGAAGTCAGATTGGTTATAAAAAATCTCAGCAGAGTATGGAACTGCTACATGAATAGCATGTTGAGTTCTGAGGGATAATGCTTTTCTTCCGTAATCTTGAATGATCCAGCTGGGTTTTGCTTGTGTCCTTGACTGTAAGTAGGCCGTGGGCTTTCCTGGTTCTTTTTATGTAGCCCAGAATGGACAGCAATGGTATACGCCCATGCTTTGGAAGAATAAAGCTCTCCTAGTCTGAACTTCATGGAAGCTGTCTAATAACATTTTTATTTTTCTGGTCTCTGCAGCATTTCCAGACCACTTGGCTGACCTGGGCACGGAAGGGCTGGGATCAGAGAAGGGATCCATACATGGTTCCCAGTCTGACTTACGGCGCATTTCAGACCTACCTGTGCCTGCAGACTTTCTCTCTCTCTCAAATGATGCCAAACCCAAGCTAATGACCCCAGATGCATTCATGACCCCGAGCACATCTCTTCAGCAGGTAACCAGGAGTAGGGTATAGTCTTGCAATATATTATTAGGTAAATTCCTCCCAAGCTTAGACGATTCCAACAGTCTGAATAAAATACAAAGCACAGGGAGTGCCTATTGCTAGAGCTTCTGAAAATCCAGCCTTTGCGTCACCCTTTTTAGGTGGGGAAGTAGTATCTCCACCAAGAAGTCTCTGCTCTCAGTTCTGTGGGCGCCAGGTTTGCTTGGCAAAAAGATGTGGGAAGTCATTTTTAGTAATTGCTTCTCAGCTTTGGAACTCCTCCCCCCTTCCCCTCCATCTTCCCCTCCCCATCTTGAGGCCCACTGGACCCCAAGTCTAGAAATTGTAAGAATCTCTGTAAGAGTTTATTTGGGCAGGCTTTTAGCAGGCAGGTTTGCTTGGGGGTGTTTGTTTGAAAAATGTTTTATTTATATTATCTGGTTTTATTGACCTGCTTTTATTTTAAGCTTTCTGGGCAGAGCAGCAGAGAAATCAAGTAAATAGGTTGATTCCAAGAGACTTCCTGCATGGGCCTTTAGGGTGAGGGAAACTCCTGCCCAGCCATGGCAAGGGAGAGATGCCACTTTTATGGGGCGTGTACAAGTTGTGCTGCTGCCTCTGTCGCTACACCCCCATCGCCCATGTCACCACTGTACAGGTGAAGCCCCGCGGGTCTGCAGCCTCTAGGTTACTGTTCCCTGCCTTTGCATATTTTATTTGGAGAGGTTAACATAACTATGGTGGCAAAAGGCTTTTGTTGTCATATGCTGTGTCCAGCAGGGGGCTCTGCTAATCAATAGATGTCATTGAACTGGGTGGACAGAAAGATGTGTTCTTACCTCTTAGTTATTACTTAGCTTTGGAGGCAAGGGCACCCTTCAGTGCTTCTGCACTGTGGCTTGTTCATCTTGGAAGTGGCTTAGATATATTTTCTTGAACTTGTCTGTACTGCCACTAGCTGAGCAGAGGGGAGACACCAAACATCCTGATGTGCATAACATTCTGCTGATCCCTGAGCTGCTGAGTTTTATTAGGTGCTGGAGAACTTGCACCATGGCACAGCAAGCTTTAGTGTGTGTTGGAGACACAAGTGTGTTTTTTAGATATCTCCATTTTCTAAATGGCTGACAGCTGTAGGGCCTGATGTGTTACTCCCTGACATCTTCGAAGTACACATGGGCCTAGGTAATTGAAGTGTGCGCTAGACAGCACAGCTGTAAGTTAGGAAACAGCTGCTATGTTAATTTCATTTTCTGCTGGGCAAACCAATCCAGGTTTTGCTGGATCTGAGACATCCCTAGTGTAGAACTGCTTCTTGGAACCTTCCTCCAACTGCATTGCTGGCAGATATATTTTAAACAAGCCCTGCCACACTCTGGTATTTAGCATAGTTGGGAGATGGATAAGGTTAGTAGCAGATTAGACTGAGCACTTTCTAAGTTTGGGTAAGCATAGCTCTCATTCTCAGACTTCTCCAGAAATACCTGTGTATGGGAGCTTTGCTGTGGCAATGGGAAGGAACAGACCCTTTGGCTTCCCTTCAGTGCTTCATCGCATGCAGAATGAGTGTCTCTGCTGAAGGCACCTTTTGCTTGTGGAGTGTTTATAGAGATGGCCCCATTGAATCTTTTAGTGTGCTGATCTGTTTTGGTGGCAGATTATGCTGCTCTATTAATACAAAACTCTGTGAGGACTGAACTATACAGAATTCCCTACAGAAGGCTCTGGAGATGCTTTCTAGGCTGCTGTCCATGCAGCGTAAGCTCTGTCTATACTGAGTCCTCAGTCTCACTACCAAGAAAATAAATCCCTGCCTATCTACTACTCTGCATGCGTCATCCCCAGAATTGAGGTGACAGGGATGCCCCAAGCTGCTGCTCTTGAGCCTGGTATCAGAGATGCTTCTCAGAGCATTTTTACCACCGTCCTTCTCAGGTTGACGCAGAGCAGCAGATGCAGGTCTTGCCTGGTGCTGCAGGCACTATTATGATATAGCAGCTATAAAAATCCAGTACATTTCCCTGTTCCCAGTACGCTGTTGTATCCTGGAAGCTCTTTGTTGGGACTGTAGAGCTCAGCCTTATTCACCTGAAGGCTAATAGCAGAGTCCCTGCCAATGCACTGAGTCACATATGTGTTTTGCCCTAGATCACCGTGTCACCTGGTAGCAGCGTTAGTTCCCTGACTGCAGTCACAGCAATGAGCAGTACTTCTGTCAATGATACTGCCATGTCCAGGTAAGCAGAGTTCAGAGTCGTATATCCTTCCCAGTGGAACTGGCCCCCACCTGCATGGAAGGACAAGAAGGAAGGAGCCTGAAGCCAGAATTAAAAATAATTTGGATTCCCAGGTTGCCTGTAGTGGTCATCTGTTTGCATGCATCTCCGAGACAGCTCTGAGTGAGCCTGCCTTCATGCCAAGGGTCCCAAGAGACAGGGAGTGGTGCAGAGACACAGTGTTCTGCTTCCTGCCTCAGAGGAACTCTCTCGCTGCACCACAGCTCAGTTGCTTTCTGTGCTTCTCCCAAGGGGATGGCACTGTTTACAAGGAAGGGAAGGCTGGAGGCACCAAAGGACAGAGAGGAATTACTGGCAGATGGAGGGGAAGAAAATGGCATGAATAAAGAGACCCTTCCTTGGCTTGAATGTTGGGCAAAAGCTTCCTAGTGGTGAGGTGTATTAGGCTCCAGAACTAGTTGGTGGAAACCTTATTGCTTAGGCCGGGAGAGAGGAGCACGGGGACTAGCTTGGCTGTTCTTGTACTCCTCTTACCTCTGCACCCTACAGAAGATGAACTAGAGAATTTGGAGGGTCTCTTCCAAATCTGACCATGAAGTTCTAGCATTATCTTTAGCAAAGCACAAGGCCTTCACAGTCCTCTTAATCTAGAAAGGTTGGCTGCTTGGTGAGGTCTTGGGAGGAACCCTAGAGCTGTGCTAGGATTTGAGGAACTTTAGGAGACGCTCTGACTAGGGTCTTGCATTGACCCCAGCATAGAGGAGATACAAGTTCCTTAGTTCAAGGGTTCTGCACAGTCTTGCCTTATGAAATAAGTTTGGTTCTTGACTCATTCCCACTTCTTCCAGCCACAGGCCATCTGAAGACCTGACCTTGAACCCAAAGATGCAGTTGGATACCAGCATCACACTGAGCAGCAGTGGTAGCAGCCTCCAGACCAGTCCCAGAAACCATTCTGTTCTTATCCCTGGACTCCCTGACAAACTGACCGCCAAGGCACCTGTCCCGGTAAGGCTCTGAAGTCTGTGTGCAACTTCCTCTTGGGCATATGGTAGCTCTTCCTCTTTTTCTTCCTCATTCCTCTGGCAGCTGGGATGCAGTTTATCTCCTCTATATCTGACCCTGGCTCTCTTGGGTGGGAAGCAGACTTGGATCATATCCTTGGCTGGAAGGTGCTGTTGGTCACAGCATTACGAAGACAGCAAGGCAGCAAGAACTTGGAAAACCATCAAGCGTAGCTGTGAAATGCTAGTGCAGCATTATTCCTGTTCTGTCATCACCAGAGAGAGCCAGGTTGCTGATTGCCAGGAAGTGCCCCAGGTAGTGTACACTATCACTGAGGCCCTTAGAAGAATCTGGCTCCTTTGGCATCCAGTTTATATCTAAAGCTGAGTGGAATAGTGTGAGGTCTGCTCCTGCCTGTCTTTGGGGGTCTGCCTACTCTAAAGCATTTAACTTCCTGCCTATATTTGAAAAGTCCAGTAAAATGGGTTATAATTTGAAGCCCAAGATCAGAGTAGTCTTTCAGTTCTGGAGAGCATCAATGTTGTAACAACAGTTGTTGTAAAATCTTGACTGAAATGAATTCAAGTTGAGTAGTCCTTTAATTTGTACATATTCCCTGTCTAGTGGGAGGCTTGAAATCTTGGACCTAGTACTGTGTTTCTTTACATTTCACTCGCCTGAGCAACCTCCCAGTATCAGTTAGACTGGTTATGTGAGTAGGGTCAGATGCAAAGCCATTAGCCAGTAAATGTTCTTTCTGGCAGAGTTAAGATGATACAAAGGACAGACTCCTGCTTTACATCTACTTCTGAGATACTGGGCTGAAGCAGAATGGGAGCAAGATACAATCTTAGGTGTTATCAGAGCTGGCCTTAAGGGTAGACAATGTGGATAACTGCCCAGGGTGCTGTGGTCAAGAGGTGCCACACACTCCAGAACCCAACCCCCCCCCCCCCCCCCCCCCAAGTCAGCAGCACTGCTGCAGGCAGAGGCAGGTGGGGCAGAGGCGCAGAATGCAACCAGCAGGGATGCGGAGCTGTCCATACTAACAAGCCTGCGAGCCCAACCCTTGCCCCCTCCCCTCCAGCTGCTGCTTTGGAGGAGCCAGGCCAGGTCAAGCAGTGCAAGCGGTTCTGCCTCCCCACTGGACTGCACTATTCACCTCTGCCCCACCTGAGTCTTGCTAAGCGGTGGTGAGGAGCAAAATATAAGTTTGCTCAGGGCACCATTTTCCCTAGGGCTGGCTCTGGCAGTAGGGACCTTCTTCCCCATCTGCCTGACTCCTGAACAGCTCTCTCCTAGAAAGCTGCAGCAGTATTGTGAGTAGAACCTCCTGCATGGCTCTTCCCTCCCATTCCAGACGATGGGTTGATGTTGCTGCGGTACCAGTCCCAGTGGCTATTGTGGAGCTTTGAGGGTTCCTGAAAAGGCTTGTTTGTCTTTGGCTAGGAACAGATGCTGCGTTTGTCTCTGGATAAGTTGTGCCTCTGTTTGTCCCAGAACAAAAATATTCCAGGATTGGTGTGTACACACATTGCCCTTGTAATCAGTGTTTAGTGAGCAGCTGACTGCAATGCTGCTTTTCTGCCATTGATTCTGTGATGCAACCTCAGGATATCTGTACAGATGAAGTTTGCAATATCTCAAGATAAATTGTGACTACCTCTCATCTAGGAAACTTTTTTTTAGGATTTACCCCAGGATAAGTGCAACATCTGTTTTTTGTAGCCTTTAAGTCTTTGGGTCTCTCTGTTATGAAGAAGATTGGCTTGTTTGTTTTGGTCAGGTTGCACCTGGAAACCCACCTCTCTCTCTAGAGCTGAAGGAAGTGGAGCCCCTTGTGGTACCCCAGGCTTCTCCCACCCGTGAGCGCTCCCCAGATGTAATTTCTTCAGCCTCCACTGCTATGTCTCAAGATATCCCAGAGATTGCCTCGGAGACCCTGCAGCGCAGCTTTGCAGCAGCCCCAACTGGGCTCCCTGCAGAGGTACTGGAGGCCAACCACCATGCAGACAGCATGGCATCAGCTGCTTCGGCCTTGCACTTGCTGTCTCCAAGAAACAGGCACAATTCCGAGCACAGTCACCACTCCCTGGACATGGCCCCTGTGGAGGTGGACAGACTGAACACTCCCTCATTGCTGGAGACTGCTTTAACTCAGGAAAATGCTTCTTCTGACAGTGTTGTGAGCCAGCCATGGCCTGCAGCTCCTGACATCACCAGAGAAACCAGGAACAGCATGGCAGACAGGTAAGGAGCAGGATGTGTCTTGCTATCCTTTTACATGGTGGCATTTTCTTGACATTGCCCAGTCAGTGTTTTGGCAGTCACCTAGTGTTTCAGGGTCAGACAAGGAATGCTCTTTACCATCCCCCATTTGCTTTCAGAGCCCCGATGATTCATTTCCCCTTCATGCATACTGACTTCATAGGCATTACTTTTTTCCCCCCTGACACGGGCCAGTTTTAATGAACATCTCTGGTCTACAAGAAATTCCAAAATGGCAGCATGGACTCTAATTTTCTCTTCCACAGCAGCTCAAAGGGTCTCAGTTCACCAGGCTGGCAGCACTGCACACTCACCTTGAGAATTAAGCTGGTGTCTTTCCATCTTGTGTATCATCACTAGAAATAAAGGCTGTGTAGGGCAAGTTGTGTCTGTGGTGGCCTCTGTGCAGCCCCTATAGGGCAAACAGATTGTAACTTGGTAAATAATTCTGACAGTGCATCAGATAAGTCTCTGTCCTGTGAGCAAATCCACAGGATAAGGATGGGGTGTGTTTAATTAGGTCCCAGAAAGGAATCCTTTAAGCTCAGGTAGCTGCTTGAGGTTTGCTGCAGGTCTGGGTCCTTCAACATGGCTGGAGCAAAAGTTCTGACTTCTTCCCCCAGTCCTCTGCCTAACAGGGGATCTCTGCATCCAAAGGCTGGCCCTGTACACTTCATTCTTCTGAGAAAGATCAGCAGGTTTAAGCCTGTAACTCCTTGCTGTGACCAACACTCCTAAGGCTCAGAGGGGGGGAGGTTGATTGGAGTGTGGCAGTGCTTCTGCTGGTACTTAGGACCCTGGTAGACGTTACGCTTAAAATACAATTAGCCAGTTAATTGCATTTTAAATAGTAACCCAGCCATGTGTTCAGGACATTAACGGCACAATAAAATAGGAAGCAAGCCACAAAATTATTCCACAAAATGTGTGTGGTGATTGACCATCAAACCTTAAATTGAACATGAGGCAGGGTCCCCACCATGCTGCATGAAAGGGCTCTGGGACGACCCCCAATGCAGTGCCAAGGCTGGGACCCGCAATCAGCTGTCTGTCCCAGGAGCTGCACTGGTTCACAGGGTACCCAGCTTTCTATCTGACAGTGCATAGGGAGCTCTTTGCACTGGCAAGTAGTAGTGGCATGATTGTGATAGTGTCTTGCCATGCACCTGGTATAGCAGGAGCATGATTGTTGGTTCAGGGAACAGAACCCATTGCACCATTAAGCGTGAACATCTTCCAGGGACCTTGGAAAACGCAGGGGTTCCTACTTAAGGGTAGAGGGTCTTGCTTTTCTGACTGCCAGTTTTTAGGGTCAGGAAGGAATTTTTCCACTAGGTCAGAATGGCCCAGACAGTAGGCCTTTCTTCATAGTATAAGGCTTGGTCTTTTATTCTAAGATCTTCTGAGCTTGTATTAACCAATTGCTTCCCTGTTGCTTCAATGGGAGAGCAGTGGCAGCACTGTGAAGCATTCTTGGTGTTTTGGATTTTGTTCTTTGTAGTTGTGCATAAGGGTTTGTGGTGGTGGTTTTGGGGAATTCATTTGGTTAATGACTGTCTGAGGAGGAGATTGACTCGATGGCTCAGAAAGTCCCTTCCAGTCCTTTGTTCCTTAATAACCCATGGGTGTTTCTCTTTCCCCTCCTTCCACTCATGAGTGTTGCCTTTGCACTCCTGACTGCCATGGGAGTAAGAAACTGGAACCAGCCTTTGAGTCTAGGCCTTTGCACTGCTTTTCTGTCTCGTGTTTGCAATCATGTTCAGGAAGGGAGATTAGAATAGAAAAACCTTAGCCCAGGAGTCAGCAATGTTTTTGGCTGGAGTGCCAAAAACACCCCAATCCTGACCCATGCCTTGACTTGACATGCCTGGGGCCAGCTGCAGGAGAGCCATAAGGGGACCTGATCCTCGTTCATGGCAGTGCCTGTGTGTGTGCCTCTGGGCGGATGGTGGGGAAGGGACCAAGGTGGCGTTATCCCAGCCCTATGTGGTATAGAGCTGGTATCCAGGCTCTAGAGCCTGGTGCAGCTGTTTGCAGCCTGCCCACCACCTGCTGTAGCTGCCCAGAGCCTGGGTGCCTGCCAAAGCTGTCTTGGGCTCTGGGTAGCAGGCAGCCAGCAGGCTCTGGAGCACCGGCTCCATGGCAGTGACAGCTGCACACATGCCTCCAGGCAAAAAGCAGGGGAGGGGCCAAGGTTGTACTGCCCCAGCCCCCTCCCCCACTGTCTGCCTAGAAGTGTGCATGCAGCCACTACCACCGTGGTGCAGGTGATCTGGAGCCCAGTGCAGTTATTTGCAGCCTCCTAGCTGCAGCCAACCCTGGCTCTGGGCAGCCTTCCAGCTGCCTCCTGTGTGCAGCCCAGGCTTCATGGCCAGCAGGAGCTGCCCAGAGCCCTGGTGTTTGTGGCATGCCAAGCAAAATGGCTTTGCATGCCATGCTGTGGCATGCTTGTTGGGAGTTGCCACCCCCTGCCTTAGGCCATACTAAGGCAGCTGTTTCTCCCAGCTCTCTGTTCAGGCCTCTCTGGCTCTCCGCACAGTGCAAACCTGTGGGTAGGCAGGGTGACTGTTCCTTTCTGCTGTTGGCTAGATCTGCTTCATTCTAGTTCAGCTGCAAGTCTGCACATAGAGAGGATGTAGTGGCATTAAGGAGCCCCATAAAGTGCTCTTGGCCATTGCCATGTATATAAATTGTGCCCCTCTTACAATCTAAGAGGATGTGCAGTCTCCATCAAAAACTGCTGCTTGCTCAATGAAAAGGATAACATCTCCACTCCCACCCAGGAGAGCTGGTGACATATTCACCCCGGCCTAAACAGTCTCTCCTCTACCTGAAGCCTGGAAGAGCAGGGAAATCTTGCAGTGTTGCAGTCAAGGCCAGAAGCTCTGGAAAGAGAAAGGTGCCAGCCAATGGGGTTGTGATACCCTGCTACTTCCAGTGAGGCCCACGGTGGTCTCCTGCAACAGCTGTATACTGGGAGCTTTCCCATTTGGTGGGGAGAGCAGCTGTGCTAGGGTTCCCTTCTTGCCCCTCCTAAAGGACTAGGGTTTGGTTGCTCCTACACTTCTGATGCCTACTGGCAGACTGGGACTGTTATATGACTATGCTGGCTCTATGGGTTCAAACCAGGGGGTTACACTGTGGCAAGTTGAGGGAGCAGATGACTAAGCAGGGATGCTTTCATAATGGCATTTCCCTCTTTCTCCAGCCCTAGGGATGAGGTTGAAGAGAAGCACAAGAGCTCTTCCTATCACAGACACAGCTACCACCTGCTGCAGCATGACAGCCAGGATGCCAGTGCAGAGCAAAGGTACCTGAGCCCTCCACTCTCTTCCATGTTCTTTGGTCATGTTATGACTTTGTTCATGCCTCCATTTGCAGTAAGCCTTCATCTGTGGTGTGAAATGCCTTTGCTTTGCCTCCTGCCATCTGATGATGGCTTGAGAGGTTGCATAAGCAGTCCAGCCCTCCTCATGACCTGGTGACTGGTGAGAGTCCTCTGGCAATGCTCAGGTTACAGTCACTAGGATAGACATTTGCCATGTTGCTTATAGAAACCTACTGAGCCCAGTGAATAAAGCTTGGTCTAGTTGTCAGTGAAAACTACTTACAGTTTGAAGCCCAGTCCTTGAATTTAAAGCAAGGTAGATGGTAAACTCTAGGGGTTGCTGGTCAGCTCTCCTTCCATCCTCTGCTCATGACCCACCTTCCACCACTGCTTGGTTTTGCATGCCTGGTAGAGTCAGTCTCCCCCAGTGGGTGGAGGGTTAGTTGTTCCCCACACTCAGGTAGGTGCTGAAGTTTGCAGCCTGTGCTAGACAGTTGGCTGCCAGCTAAAATGCACCTAAGGTACTAAGGTTTACAGTGTCATTGGACTCTACCTTGGTTGCTCTCTGTGTCAGTTACCTTCTGTCTGTAACAATACAAGAGAGACATTTTATGCAGGAATTCCCTGCAGGATCAGTAGCTGCATCCAAGAATTCCACGCTAGCAGGGGTATGTATCAGGAACTGCCAAAGACCTCTGCAGAGCAGCATAGACTATGCTGGTGCTTAGTGCAGAGGAGATAGTAGGTTTCATTATGAAGCCATTAATATTGATCTATGCAACCTGGTACCTTGGATCAAGGTGGAGTGTTCTCTGCCAAGCCCTGGAGATTCCTTGGATGAAAGATCATGTTGGAATACGTTTTTGCCTTTTGCCTGCAAAGCCCTTGGCTGCGCAGGACAGGGATGCCCCAGTCAGTGTGGATATAAAGCAGAGTTCTGCATCTCCCACTAGAAGGCAAAAACTAATGCTCTTCAACATTGAAAGTGACGTCCTCTCCCCTGCTGTTCCTTCGTAGTGACCATGATGATGAAGTTGCAAGTTTGGCTTCTACATCAGGTGGATTTGGTGCCAAAGTATCTGCACAGAGGCTGCCTGTGAAGGACTGGAAAACCAAGGCATCCCCTCGGGCTTCCCCAAAGCTAAAGCGGAAGGGCAAGAAAGAGGACGGGTATGCTCAGCTGCCAGGGTGCAGACAGCTGTGGGGCTGGCAGCACAGGGCCACAGCCTGAGAAACCCATTAACAGCTAGGCTTTCTAAGCATGCCCTAGAACTACTGCCTTCTTGCAAGGAACTTGGGCTTTCCTTTTGTTGGTAGTGAGGGAGCAGTAATCCCCAGTGAAAATTCAGATGGTGCCCATTTCACAGGGGTGTAGAAACAGTTTCTCTCTTTCCCTCTCAGCTGGGACTTAAGGTGTAAGGTAGAGCAGACTGCAAGCTGGGCTTCAGAAGGATTCATGGGAAGCCAGTTCATTATTCTGGGGAGATGGGAATGCTAGAGCTGTGCTCCTACCCTTTGGCTCCAGACCAGTGCCATGTGCCCTATTTTAGTCAGGATTGTTTTACCTGTTTGCACAGCAGAGCCTTACTCGTTAGATTCTAGAGCAGGGGCGGGCAATTATTTTGGGCAGAGGACTGCTTACTGAGTTTCGGCAAGCATCAAGGGCCGCGTGACACGCAGCCAAGGTCAGATTAATATTAATTTTCTAAATTTTTTAGGGGCCCTACGGGCTGGATAGAATGGCCTGATGGGCTGCATCCGGCCCCTGGGCTGTGTTTTGCCCATCCCTGTTCTAGAGGCTGCCCTAGCATACATGTTCAGCAATAATGTCTGGCCTTTGTCACTTACCTGTATGTATAAACTTAACCATGCAAAATGTCCTGTGCTTGAAGTGTCACAAACCAGAGACTTTTGGATCTAATCAAATCCAATAGGGCAACTGGTCAAGGGGCTTGGATTAATGTCTGGGGAAATGGTGCAACCCCTACAAGTGACTCTTTGGTCCTCAGATGCTCCATAGGTGGATATGGACCTGTGGGTAGGTAGATTTGGCAGAACGTGGACCCAAAGTTTTCAGTTGCTAGTTGTCATCTCTTCCCCCTATAACCAAGAGACTGTTTGAGAGAGACCATTCCCTTCCCATCGCCAGTCCTTTTCAGACAGCTGAATGGACACTGTTAAAGTTATTGATCACCCAGTCTGTGAGTTACAAATACACATCTCCTTCCTGTCAAGTTTTGGTTCAGAGGTGGGTTTGTGGTTTTGGGGGAGCCATACAGATCTTGTCTGCTTAATAAAACATTTCTCTGGTTTGTTTCTTGAGGACATGCTGCCGTATGCTAATGGTCCTTTTACCCAAAGACTTGGAGTCATTCCAGGCAATTGTTACATACAGAATCAGGCATTTTCAAAACATGCGTTGGATTTTTCTTTTTAATAAACTGCAAAAAATGCAAGACTGGAAAATTGGAAAATGCAAGCATGTGATCCTTTTTGGACTAATAAAAAGTCCAGAGTGATATTTGTAGTAAAAGGTCAGCCCCATTGAGGGCACTGTCTCAGACACTCATTGAGAGAAACATGATAACTAGAACCTCAGGTGTTAATCATTGGTAGAAGTAATAGTTGATATCACTTTCCTAGTGTCACGCAAACCTGGACTATGGAATCCCACTAGTGCTCTGGTGTTGGACACTGGTCAGGAAGGATGGGGTGGGATATAAGAGTGAAAGGGAGGAACCAAAAGGCAAGGTCAGTCTTAGCCATAGATCTGGATAATCCTAAATATGTAATTCACTTAGTTATATTAATTCTTTTTTTAAATTCCAGGGATGTGACCCAGTCCCCACGATCATCTGATCACCAGGTTAGTGACAGTGCAGCCATTGCTGCTTTCCCAAGGAATGGATTCTCCCTCTCCTATTTGCATGTTAGCTTTCTTGTTTTCAGTTCCTTTTGCAATCTCTTCCTCTGCTGCAGAGCTTATGGTTTACACTGTGCATAAGCAGGCAGACATTGTGTACAATAGTGCTAGCCAAGACCCTGTCAGACTAGTTCAGAATTGCTTTGCATCTTTGTCTTGCAGATAGCAGAAAAAAGTTGGCTTGAGAGAGAGAGTTGCCTGGACTTTCCCAAACTGTTGGCCTCCTTTCACTACTTACTGTGCCTGATTTAGATGTCCGTGTTCACCATATGACCAGCGCACAGCTGTGTCTGCTCCAGCTGCTCTTCCCCACATCACTTTTGAGTGCACCAGCAGTGGGATAGTGAGGCATTCCCAGCACCACTGGGAAACAGCCACATTTTAGGATTTGGGGAGCTGCTCGTGAGATGCTTGGATCTCAGCCAGCTGCTTGCACTCTTTAGAATATCAAATGCCTTCCCTCCTGGTTAAAGAATTTGGGGGAGAGAGAGAAAACACATTTGGTATCATTCCCCTTCCCCCAGGAGCAGGGCTGGCCATAGCCACCACTTCTCCTAAGTTAGAGGAAGTGCCTGGTGATTTGGTCCGAGTGGTAGTGCAGGGAAGAACATCTTTCCCAACCTGCCATTAAATGCACAAGATCAGCTGCCCAAGTCCTAGGGCAGGGGTGGGTAAAATATGGCTTATGGGCTGGATCCAGCCTGCCAGCTGGCTGGATCTGGCCTGCAGCTGCCCCTGCAATGCTCCACATGGGGCTGAGCCTAACCTGGGCAGTCCACGCCTGCACTCTCACAGCCCTGGTCCCAGCCAGCATGCAGTTTCTGGGCTGTTCCCAGTGCAGCTGCAGCCGGCTGGATGTTCCTCTGCTCCCCTAACCTCCAGCGGGATCAGCCGGGCTGAAGCTTCCCCGCTGCCCCCACCTGCCTGGAGCAGCACAGCAGGGGGAAGGAGTTGGGAGGAGAAGGGGCTGCTAGAGGCAAGAGGAGCACAACAGCACCTGGCTGGCTGCAGCTGTACCAGGAACAGCCCCACCGGAAGCTGCACATGCTGGTTGGGGTCAGTGGGGCTGTTCTGCTCCCCTCACCTCCAGCTGCAAGTCCTGCTCCTGCTGTGCCATGCTGCAGCACGCTGCATGTTCCACACAGGTGGGAAGCCTCAGGAAGGCTCCTGCCCAGTACATGGAGATCCAGCTCCAGCTCCTGGCTGCCTTACACCCACTTTGCCTGCCCACAGGGGCTGCTCATCAAGCTGGGTGGGCAGAGTGGATGGAAGGTGATCAGGAGCTGGAGCCGGAGCTCCATGCACAGGGCAGGAGCCTCTTGCTGAAGCTTCCCAGCTGCCCACCCAGAGCGGCGTAGCAGGGACAGGAGCAGCAGCTGCAGCTAGAGGCAAGGGAAGCAGAACAGCCCCTCCAGCCCTGGCCAGCGTGGAGCCTGGCCTGGCACAATGCAGTCTGTGCCGTGCCATATGGGTCTCAGCTTTGCAGTGGGGATCTGCATGCTGCTGGGACAGACGAAGCTAGGCTGGCTCTGTGCTTCACCGTGCGGTTCCCAGCTGCAAGGCCAGGACCCACATAGTGCAGCACAGAGCCAGCCTGGCACCCAGGTCATCCTGCCTATAGCACATGGTTCCCCACTGCAAAGCTGTGATCTCCATGGCATGGAGGAGACGGGTCAAGCCAGGTTGGCTCCATACGTGGGTCCCAGCCTTGCAGCCAGGAAGCATGCCCCACAGCCGGGACGGGCCAGGCTGGGCTAGCTCCATGCCATGCCGTGTGTTCCCTGGCCTTGCAGCTGAAACCGTGTTAGGCTGGCCCTGCGCCACACCATATTGGTCCCAGCCTTGCAGCCTGAAACTGCGTGCTGCAGCAAACACAGGACAGGTGGGGCTGGTTCCCTACCTCCTACCATACCCCCAGGGCACACTCACACCCTCACACAGCCCCCTTACCTTAACCCTACACCCTACCATAGTCCCCGCACAGTCCCATACCCTCCACCATAACCCCACACGCACCCACAACATGCTACCACACTGCCTACCATATCCACACACGTGCGCCCACACCCTCCCACCACTCCCCACCCCCCATATCTTATACAAGAGTAAAACTATATTTTGAGCTGTTATGCAATCGCCTCTAGATACACTATGCAAATGCACATAAATTGGGACAAAATATTTTGAATTAAAATCAAAGTAAGTTGTTATAAATGTTTGATTAATTTTTTTTTTTTTAAGTACATGATTTGTGTTATTTCCAGTTTCAAGATGGCAAACCTTCCCCCCCCCCCAGGAATACTTCCGGAGCAAGGGGAGGGACTTCTGGTGGCAAAGGTCAGGGGT